GCAATGAGGGCGTGTGTATGCGTCACTAAACCTGCAGGTAAGAGGCGTGGGGCGGGGGTGGGCAGCGCTTCTCATAGAGTCACTTTCTGGCAAAAGACACACGGGCGCGGCGCGGGTGCGGTGCGGCGCTTTGGAGCATAAAGCAGAGGCAGGCGGGCGGCGCTGGCGCGCGCATGATACAACGTTTGGATGCTGCGAGCGCACGCAGGTTGAGTGCGGGGCAGGTTATCACGGGCGTGCCCAGCGTGCTGAAGGAGTTGGTGGAGAACAGCCTAGACGCCGGGGCCCGCACCGTCACTGTGCGCCTTGAGGACTTTGGCCTGGAGAGGATCGTCGTGGACGACGACGGCGGCGGCATCGCACTGGGCGGCGTGCTAACCAGCGAGGGGACCGTGCGGGAGGATGCGTGCCCGCCGCTCCTCGCCTGCCGGGCCACGACGAAGCATCCGCGGGGGGAGGAGGCCGCCCCCGCGGCGCAGGCGCGGGACCTGCTGGGGTTCCGCGGCGAGGCGCTGCACTGCCTCGCCAACCTGAGCGAGGTGGCCGTCCACACCATGACGGCGGCGAGCCACCCCACCACCCTCTGCATCACGTACGACGTCAAGGCGCACCGCACCGGCGTGAGGGCGACGCGGGAGCGCAGCGCCCCGGGCACCACCGTCGTCGTGGAGAAGCTTTTTCGGGCCCTGCCTGTGCGTCACAGAGAGGCTAGCAAGAGCAAGAAGAAGCAGCTGCTCGCTGCCACGTTGCTCATGAAGCAGTACGCGCTTTCCCACCCCCACGTGCGGCTGCTGGTGACGCACTGCCTGAGCCCACAGAGCGCGCCAACGACGCTGGTGTCGCTGACCGGGACAAACGATACCCAGCGTGCACTGGCGGAGGCCTACGGTGGGCGCCACCTCGCGGACATGAGCCGCGTGGAATGGGAGTTTTCGTTTGGCACCCTCACCGGTTTTGTCTCAAAGATTGATGCCGGGCGCCTCTCACCTGACATGCAGGTGCTGGCGCTGGATGGCAGGCTTGTGGATTTGCCAATGATCTCGAGGGGCATCAGTGACGCATACGCTGAGTGTCAGCCCAACGCGGCCCAGCGTGTGCATCCAGTCTTTTTCCTCCACCTGACGTGCGACAGGAGTGTTCCCTACGACGTGAATTTGGCGCCCAACAAGCGCAAGGTCCTCTTTACGGAAGAGAGCGAGCACACGGAAGAAGTCCGCGCGCGGGCGCTTGCGACATTTCGGGCATCCACCGATGGGATTGTGGTGGACCGGCACATCCGTATCGAGCAGACGCGCCGGGCGGATTGGAAGGCCTCGCAGGACTCAAAGCTTACGCGAACCCCCGTTTCTGCCACCGCCCTCACGCAGTTCACGTACCGGCGCACGGACCCGCCGTTGACGCCGTCGTCTGCTGAAGACCCGGAGGCGACTGAGCCGGTCGAAATGTCAAAAATGCGCTCTTCCCTCTACTACACCCAAACGGAGGCAGGGAGTGGCTCGACTGCCGGCACAGGCGTCGGCAGTGCCGACGACGACGATGCTTCCGGCGGCAGCAGCTCCCCCACTCCGTCGCTGTGCTCGCCTGTGGCGGGAGGGCCGGGCGGCGAGGAGGCCGCGTTGACGCGGGCCTGCAAGCGTGCGCGTCCGCTGGACTCGCCGGACGACGCGGCGCAGACGGCGGTGGCGGACGGCAGCACCTCGCCGGTGTTCCTGACGGATGAGGCAAACCAGCCCCGACCCGCGGGCCCGCGGACGGGCATGCGCTTTCCCTCCCTCACGGCTTTGTCACTGCAGGCCTTGCTGCACCCCTCCGCTGAGGCGACCCCAACTCCCCCTGGAGTCAGAGAAAAGAAGCGCCAACAATTTGGCTCCCTCGCGGAGCAGACGGAGAAGCAGCTTGCGATGCATTTGGACAAAAGCTCCTTCAAAGAGATGCGCATACATGGACAGTTCAACCACGGATTTATCCTGGCGTCGCTTGGGGACGACGTTTTCGTAGTTGATCAGCATGCCGCGGATGAGAAGTTTAACTACGAGGCTCTGGTGGGACAGTACGCGGCCCGACCTCAGCCGCTCCTGACGGCTGTTCCCGTGTCGATGGATCCGCATGATGTGGATCTGGCGGTGCTGCACAGCGAGGAGTTGCGGCAGCATGGCTTCACTGTGCGGCCTGGCGAGGACGCCAACAAGCTGCTTGTGTCATCGGTGCCCGTACTCCAATACGAGGTGGTGGGGCCCCACGATGTCGTGGAGTTGGTGCAGCAGCTTGCACTCTACGGCGCCATCACCAAGCCGTTGCGCAGCGTGTGGCACTCCATGGCCACAAAGGCGTGCCGTTCCAGCATCATGATAGGCACGGCTCTCTCTGAGAAGACCATGCGCTCCGTTGTGAGTCGCCTCGGCGAGCTGGAGCAGCCGTGGAATTGCCCGCATGGACGCCCTACCCTGCGGCACGTCGCGTGCGTGTCCTCTCTCATGGCTGCACTGAAGCAGGCACCTGCGGATTAATACAAGCACATACATACATAATAGATCTACATACATGAATGACCCAGACACGACACATGAACTGGATCAATCGCCACGCCGCGGATGCTGTTTTTGAATCTTTCTTTGTTGTTGTTGTTGTTGTTGTTTTTTTTTTTTTTGTCTTTGGCCTTTTTCTTTTTTACTATCTCTTTGCCCCCGCATGCGCGTGCGGGATCTTTTTTGCGATGCTCCCTCCTTTTTTTTTTACTGTAAGCAGCTGTTTGTATGTCCACATTGCGTATACATACAGCGTATGGTTTCGCTCGCGTGCGTTCTGATAACGTGCCGGTCTGTATTGAAGCCTGTTATACTTTTCCCGCTTTCTTTTCCTTCTTGCGGTCGGCGTTGCCTTCTGCTGGGCCCGGGCCGGCGGCGTTCACCCCCCTGGGAAGGCAGAGGAGGCGTTGCGCCGCCGTCACTTCGGGCTCCGTGCGGCGATGGACGCGGCCCCCCGCGCAAGAGGCACGGCGGCGAGCAGCAGCGTGTGCTCCGACCTCCGCGAGCTCAACGAGGCGAAGGTGGCGAATATTCTTTCGTACCTCGACGAGGCCGTCGCGACGCGCCCGCAGCTGGCCGTCTCCTTCGCCCCACACGACGACATGCTGCCCGAGGCGTACGCCCCCGGGGGCGCCGCGCTCGCCCCATCGACGGCGCTAAACCAGTCGTCGCACAAAAAACCGCCTTGCGCCGCACCGCCTCAGCAGCAGCAGCAGCAGCAACTGTCTTCGAGCGCCTCCGCCGCTTGTCTCACGTCGTATGTGATCGGTGGCTCGCTTGACCCCTACGTTGGCGTCTACCACGGCATCAAGGCGAAGATAGAGGCGCTGCGCTTCAGCAATGATGAGCTGCGGGCGGAGAATGAGGAGCTGAAGGCGCGGCTGGGCACGGCGCGCCAGCGGGAGGCGGAACATGTGGAGAAGCTGCAGTTCGCCAACCGCGCCGAGACGCAGTTGCTGCGCGACGGGTTTCGCGAGTCGGAGGCGGAGCATCGCCGGCTGACGCAAGGGCTGCAGCGGGAGAAGGCGCAGCTCACGAAGGCGGTGGAGTCGCTCACGACGCAGCTTCGGCAGGAGATGTCGCGGCGGGAGGAGGAGGTGGCAAAGTTGGAGTCCGCCAACGCGGCGGCCATCGCGCAGCTGAAGATGCGCTGGCAGGCGCAGGAGAAGGCCGCCCGCGAGAAGTGGCGGGTGGCGGAGGCGAAGCGCATCAAGGAGAGCACGCTGCAGTCGCTGGAGCCTGACATTGTGCTGCTGCTGAACCGCCACAAGGCCGAGAAGGCGCGGATGCGAGAGGAGTTTGAGAACGAGCTCCGCCAGCGGGACGAGGTGATTGCAGCGAAGGAGGCGACCGTGGACGAGGTGAAGGCGAGACTGGCGCGCGACGCCGAGGCGACGATGACGCGCGAGCAGAACGAGTTCCGCGAGCGCCTCAGGGAGGAGGTGGAGCGGGTGAACCGCCAGCTGGAGGAGGAGCGTCGCGCGGCCAGGCAGAAAACGGAGGACATGGAGGCCTTCTTTGAGGAGCAGAAGGGCGTGATGCAGCGTGAAATCGCGCGGCTGCAGAAGGAGCTTTTCGCGCTGAAGGAGGCCGCATCGACGGCGCAGGCGACGTTCCACGACGCGGTGGCGAAGGAGGTCGCAGGCATCACGGCCAACTCCAACAACATCGTGGGCGAATTGAAGGAGAAGCTCATGTGGGAGTTCAGCCGCAGGGAAAAGGAGACGCAGGTGCACAACAAGCACTACTTGGCTGCGAAGGAGGAGGAGCTGCGCCGCAAGTGTGAGGCGGAGCGGGATGCGGCGGTGGCGGCGGCAACGCAGCGACTAGAGCAGACGCACGTGAAGTACCTTACGGAGTCGCAAGGCAACGATGGCCTGCTGCGCGACAGATTTGCCCAAATGAGTCGCGAAAACGAACGGCTGCGGGTTGAGGCAGAACTGCTGCAGGAACAGTTGAAGAGTGCGCTTGACGCAAAAAATAGAAAAGATGAGGAGATTGGGCGCCTGCGCGAGGCTGCGGAGTTGACTGAACAGCGGGTGAAGGCGATTGAGGACGGAGTTCGCGGCGAATGCGAGACGCGGATGCATGTCCTTGACACGGAGTGGCAGCGAAAACTTCGCCAGTTCGAGATTAAGCACGTGGAGGAGGTGGGTGCCATGCAGCACGAGTTGGAGAAGGCAAGCATAGAGTTGGAGGCGGCAAGGAATGCGGCCGCCTTGGAGCAGAATAGCATAGAGCAGAAACATGCCGCGGAGCTCACGAGCATCAACGAGAGAGTTTTGGTGGCCCTTGCCACCAAAGACAACACCCTGAAGGCGCAGACGGAACAGATAAGTCTCCTCCAGGAGGCCCTGCGACACCGCGACGAGCATATCGCCAGGCACCGGGAGTTGCTGTGAGTATTTGCGCCGTAGTAGCGCGGATGTTGTTTATTCCCCCTTCCGCACACTAAAAAAAAAAGAAAACAAAAAGGAAATATGAATGACAATCAGTTGAGGAAGTTTCTGAGAGCGCGAGCGCGAGTGGTGCCGAGGAGGAGGCGTGGCGTTTTCCCTTCGAAGTGCCTGCCGCGACTGCTTTTTGTTTCCAATCCTTTGCTTCCCTTGCTCTCCTTTATTCAACCGCCCCCACTCCTCCCATTATTTTTTTTTCCTCCTTTTCTTTTCTGTGTCTGTGTTGTTGTTGTTGTCGTCGTCTTTTCTCCGCCGTTTCCGCAGGATTGCGTTGGTCGCACGGGGCGTCGATGCAGTCGCCGAGCTACTCCTCCTTCTACGTGAAGATGCGCCAGGCGTACGCCGCGGCGGGGCCGCAGCGGCGGCCGGAGGCGATGAGGCCCCCAACGCCCGCAGAGATGACGACGACGCCGTCGCCCGCGTGCCGTGCGCCGGCCGCGGAGGGGCGCTACGACGCGGGCGCAATCGCGGGGATTGAAAGGAAGCTGGCGGCGGTCCGGGGGCAAAGCGGCACGCCGCTCTACCGCTGCAGCAATGACCAGCGCGACGAGCAGGAGCGACTGCGACGCCAAGGCGGGGAACAGCAGCGGCAGCGGGGCGCATCTTCTGCCTCTCCTCCCGTAGTGTACTCGGGCCACGACGGTGACCCCGCAACAAAGGGGTTATGCGCCACGGTGGAGCAAGAGGTGGAATTGGTGACTCCTGTGCTCTCGCCCCCGTCCTCGCGCTCCCCTAACGAGAACGGCCCACCTACGAATCAGCCGTCACTCTCTCTGCCGTCTGCTGTTCCAGCCAGGAAGGAGCCGGATGACGATGATAGGCTGACCCCGCAGGAGATGTCCATACTGCGTGTCGTCGAGTTTGCCGTTCCTGTCGTCGTGCACGCGCAGCTGGAGCCCGGGGCCAGTCTCGTGGAGGTGTGCGAGGAGGCGACAGTGAAGCTCTTTCCCTCCCATTTGGTCCTCATTCGACCGGACGGCGTCGCGGCCGTCGAGTTGGTTATCGGGGAGCTCTACGAGCTGAACGAAGACGAGGGCGCATCTGCGCTGGACTGCATTGTGCAGGCACGGGGCACGACGCGGCGGCAACTTATTCGGCTCACCTGCACCGACGCGATAGCACGCGGCGCACTTTTCAAGCTCTTGTGTGCGAGGCGAACTCAGTTGGAGGAGGGCGCTGAGTGGCTGGAGAAGAACACCTCTGGGGCCGTTAGCAGAGGCTGAAGAGGAACACGTGTTTGAGTGTATCACTGTTGTTTCATATATATATATATATATATAT